TTATTTTGATTAAAAGTAAAAAACCGGTATTTACTCATTCACGGTTTTGAGTTAAGACGTGGCAACATGAGGGGGCTCGGGTGTCCAAAGCGAGTGCCCTTAGAACTGCCCAAAATGAAATTATGATAATCATTGGATTTTGAGCAATAATTGGTCGTAATCTTTTCTTTCTTGATATATTTGGAACCAAGGTTTTGAAAACCGGACCGGACCGGCCGGTCGAACCGGTCGAACCGGTAGCCGGTAGTATAAACGGTTCGGTTTTATCTTTTAAACCGTTTGAAGATCAAACCGTTTAAAAACCGGTAAGAACCGTTGGAACCGCTCAAACCAAAAAACCGTTCGACCGGACGGTTCAATGCTTGAGAACAAAAGCTTGAGAAATTTGTCCCCCATTAAGCTTGAACTTGCAACCTTGATGCCTTTTTAGTTTATTCCAACCCTTTGCCACCAGGACAATGCACTCTGTTTGTCAATGGATGCTTGAAATTCTATTTATTCTATTTTTAAAACCATAATTATTTAAAATTTGTTCATAAGGGTGCTCGAACCTGTGATTTTTGATATGAGAAAACAACCACCTACCATCGCACTCAATGGATATCTTATGAAATATTTTACAAAATAATCTATTTATACTATATTAATGAACCGGCGGTTTTACCGGTTACACCGGTTAAACCGCTCAAACCGTGAACCGGAGGTCAAAACGGTTTGACCTCCGGTTCGATTTTAAAAACATTGTTTGGAACTACATAAGTTGTAAGGAATATTTGGATTTGCTAGAATAATTGATAATTAATAATTTTTATTATTTATAATTTAAAGTATTAATTTTTTTATTAAAATTAACAACTAATATCTAATAATTGTTTGTGAAAAATTGAAAAAAATATTCATTTAGACTCTTAGTTATTTTTGCTGTCAACTCATTTTATTTTTTTAACACCTATAATTTAAGGTAAGAAATAAAGAATTTTAATACAATAATATCATGACTCAAATTTTACTTATTACTAAAATAATTAGATGCACCTAACGAATGGTGTATGAAACTTAGTGCTGCTGTTAAGTTATTTGTACATTTAAAGATGTATCCTTTGTATTTGTCTGTTTTTTAAAGCTTAAACTTTATATTTAGTATACAAAGACATATTTATTTATTAGTAAATTTAATTTTTTAAGGTTTTGATTTTTAGAAAGTAATTTAATCTATAAGGATGAATAAAAGTATTTATTGATTCAATTACTAACTTGTTTAAGCTAATTTTCAACTTGAAGTTGAAGATTGTAGATAATATACATGAGTGGCCGTGTGTATTTTATCGTCAGTTGAGCCTACGTAAATGTTCAATGGCCACAGCCATGTGCTGTATTGTAAGAGTACAGACCACAGAGAGAGCCCCATTCCAAGCTGTACACTAATGAATGGGCAATACTGCCCTTTAGAGATCAGAAAAAGGAACTAGCAGCGTCATGAATTGGATGACTTCGGTCTCCACGCCTTCTCTCTCGCTCTCGCGCCACTTACGTATTCCAATCACAGCCATCCACGCCGCCGCCAACGGAACGATGCCAGATCCACACCCGTCTCTCAGAGTCACCGGCGGCGCACGTGACCGCTTCCTCCAGGCTTTCAAAACCTTGCATCGTCCCTACAATCCCTTGCCACTGATTTGCTGGAACCGTCACGTGGAGACCATCTTCGCCTCATTCTTTCGCTCCGTGCCTCAAGTTAGATTACGCCGGGAGTGCCTCCGCACCAAGGACGGCGGCTCCGTCGCACTTGATTGGGTCGCTGGAGATCACCAGCGATTGCCATCTGATTCTCCACTTCTCATTTTACTGGTCCGGCTGCAGCTATTTATCGTTTGGATTGAGTGATTGTGTTTATTGTTTATTTTGATATGAAGATTTTTGGATATTGATGGTTGCAGCCGGGTTTGACTGGAGGCAGCCAGGATTCGTATGTGAGGCATATGTTACTTAAAGCTCAGAATGAGGGTTGGCGTGTTGTGGTGTTCAATAGCCGAGGCTGTGGGGATAGTCCTGTTACCACTCCTCAGGTAAGCCTCTCTTCTTTATTTTTATTTTTTTTGGAATTTTCCTGCTCCCATGTTGATTGGAATTGATCTGCTAGTTTCCATGGGGTTTTTGGAGGCATTGGGGGCAAATCCAGAGGGTTTGGATAAGGCTATTGTTCTTTTTGTTTTAATTAATTTTGACTTTATTATAAAGAATTTAGAGATGTTTTCATACAAAATGTGTGATTATTTCATGAAAGTGATATGCAGTTCTATTCAGCTTCGTTTTTAGGAGATATGTATGAAGTAGTCGCACATGTCGGCAGTAGATACCCTGAAGCTAATTTGTATGCTGTTGGTTGGTCTCTTGGGGCAAACATTCTTGTTCGTTATATGGGTCAGGTATGCTCTATTTTTGATGAGCCATCTATGTTCTATATCTGCATTTTCAGCCTGACCAAAAAACTCTATGTTCTATTTGCCAAAATGTTTTGTTTTCTTATGTGGTTGGAGTCATTGGCCGAGTGTCTCTTGCTTTTTTGGAAATGCCCAATGTCTCTTCCCTTTGCATTGTTGTACACTGAATGGCATTTGGATTACATAATTCTGGTGTATAATAGTTACTTGTGCTTATAGCCTCATCTCTGGTACTTAAACCCTTTATCTCTAGGCAAACTTGGGATTTGAATGTCTGTATTTTAGTAGCTAAACTATTTACTACTTAGCGTTTTGAGTTAAGTGCATATTTTCATTTATGCTCATCCTATTCACTTTATAGTGGTAATCATTTTTACATCATTCTGTCTTACAATTTTCCTGATTAAACAAAGGAGAACATTACCATATTTTTACAGTAGAGGTCATAGCTAGCAGCTTTTGATTACACAGAAATCCTATTCCAATTACCTAAAGTGGGCTGGGGCTGGGGCTGGGGGGAGAATGTTGTGCATGTCTTCATTTCACTTCTTTTGGTTCTAAATTCACTTTCTTATGAGACAAAAACCATATTACTATAATGCCTTCCTTCCAGTCATGAGGCATTTTCCCGCTAGATTTCACTATGTCCTCCTATTTTACTATGGCTTATAATTCATCTATACATATGTTATGTTGCAGGAATCCCATACCTGCCCTCTTTCTGGTGCCGTGTCACTTTGTAATCCTTTCAATTTGGTTGTGGCAGATGAGAACTTTCACAAGGGCTTTAACAATGTTTATGACAAAGCCCTTGCAAAATCTCTCAGGGAAATTTTCAAGAGGTAAGTCTAGTTATGATTTTTCTTATCTCTCTCTCTCTCTCTCCCCAAATTAATCAATGTCTTTATTTCTAAATGATTCTTTCCAAAATCTCATTCTTTTTTCCAGGCATGCTCTTCTCTTCGAGGACATGGGTGGTGAATTCAATATCCCACTAGCTGCCAATGCAAAGTCTGTCAGGGAATTTGATGAAGGATTAACTCGTGGTATGTATTTCTTGTGTGTAAATTTGATTTCCTTCCCCTTCCTCAGTTTTTTGTGTAGGGTAACTATTCTTTTTACTGGCATTTTTATTTGTTCTTCTTTTTTTTCTTTTTTTTTAACAGTTTCATTTGGTTTTAAATCGGTGGATGACTATTATTCTAATTCAAGTAGTTCAGATTCCATAAAACACATTTGCAGACCGTTGCTTTGCATTCAGGTACATACCTTTTTGCAGTTTTATGTGCTTTCAATCAATTCTATGAATCAAATTTTAATTGTGGATATGGAAAATATGAAAATGCTTATCTAGAAGTGAAAATAAGCGTCCTATCGGCCTTTGTGGCTTTGGGGAATGACAAAGGCAAAGGTGCCTTAAGAGAGATGGTCTAAATCATTGTGAGCACTGTGAATGCAAATAAGGAAAAGGATGGGAATACAAGTGCATAATAATCATTACTTCAATCATAAAATTCAATTAGGACATTGCACAAACAAAGCAAATAAATCCAGTGCTTGGGTGTAGGAATTATCTTCCAAAATATTCATAGCAATTGCCTCTGAAATAGCCATCCAATAATTGTAATCTAGTCATAATCTCATTTTCTTCAAAATGGTTAGAATAACTAGTAACACCATTAGCACCATGAGCACCATCAAGTGTAGATTGAACATGTGGGTTTTCTACTTAGTTACATGAAATGCACTGTCTACCACTTTCTTTCTTATTTAATTGTGAGTTGTCATGGTTGCCAACAGAATACCTGTGTTGAAATCATAATTAGGCATATCTCTTAAAATTGATCAAGCTTTTCTTACCCTTAAGGTGCACTTGACTATTTTTCTCTATACAAAGAATGGAGGTAATTAAATTTGTGTCCCCTTGGTGTGTATAATTGTGCTGTTCTGGCACAATTGAAGTCTTTCCATTGATATCTTACATTTTCCCCCTTGTAAGGACAGACTTGTATAACGTCTTATATGTGAGTATCCTGCATCCACAAAAAAATATTTGTTTTCTTAACGGTTGCATAAAGTTCAATTCTGGCCTATGGACTATGCAGGGTTTCACAAGGTATCCTACTCTCATGTACAAGTCTGTACCAACCTGTATATGCACATTTAGAATACATTAAAATCCAAACTCCAAGAATGCATTGAGTTGCTTACCCTTTGCATTGTAGCTCTTATCCACATAGCAATTTTGATGTGAAAGCAATACTCTCTGACGCTCGCCTTCCAACACTCTTTATCATTGGGCCACAAGGCATCGAGATTAAGAGTGTGTTGAAAGGGAAGTGTCAGAGACTGTTGCTAGCATTTCTCTTTGGTCTATGTTATTGAATACATCTAGGGAACTTATGAGATGCTATAGTATAGTTTGGTATGAAGACATTATATAAATTGATAAATAGTGGAATATATGATGTGGAAAATACAGAAATTTAGTCATTTATGAATTTGGTGATAGAATTATAATTTGAATAACATGTCAAGTTTTGCAAGATAGAAGGCACAATTATGTTGGAAACCATTATGTCGAATTGTTAAGAGAAGGTAGTAAGTTTTTTTTTGTCTGAGAGCATGTTAAGAGAAAATCAAGGGAATAATTCAAATGCAAAAAAGGAAAGACCTCCAAATAGCTAGGTAGCTTTGATCAAAAGCTGCATTTTTTTGAATTTAAGAGTTATATTCTAAGCACAGGCCAGAAAAGTAAAGAGGTATATTGAAAATTTTACTATAATAATAGTCTACTTATTAAGCTTCTGTGTATTATTGCAGGCCGAAAATGACCCCATTGCTCCCTCTTGGGGAATTCCTCATGAAGATATTGAGGTATGTGAGTTGTACCTCCTTGGGGAATGCATTATTTCTATTTTCCTTTTTTGGCATTTTTAGGTTGACAATGGAGTCTATTTCCAAAATACCTTCTCATGTTTACTGTATCATTTCTTTTCTCTATTTAGCTTTATCTAGTCTCATCTTGTTTAGATCATTATTGTAAATCAACACTTTCGCAATCCTTGATTTCAAGGTCAAGTGCAAGAGGTTTTTCAGCTTCCACTGTACTACTGTAGTTTGCAAAACTGCATCAAGATTAAAATTGTGTGGCTGATCCTTTCATATATGTTCTTTGTAAAGTGTACTTGGCCTCTAAATGTTGAAACAATTGCAATTTGGTACCGAAATGTAATCCTCGTCTATTTAGTATAAAGCAAAATGAAAAAAAAAAAAAAAAAAATCAGCCTTGACTTTAATTGATCTGAAAGCTTTTGAATTGATAAAGAGCGTCCAACTAATAGGTAATGGTGGAGAGGTTCATATTTTATATTCAAGTCCACAGGTTTCCAAACAAAACAGATGTTGGATTTTCCCACTCGATATGAGTGTTTTAAACATTATATTAGACCATTAGTGGATCATCCAATTTCCCTTTTGGTGGTTTTGACGTAAGTTCTTTCTGGTAATTCTTTGTGATGAATTCATCTGTCAGGAAAATTCAAACTGCATGTTGATAGTGACACCCAGAGGTGGCCATCTAGGGTGGGTTGCAGGTCCTGATGCCCCATTAGGATCTCCCTGGACTGATCCTGCGGTGATGGACTTCCTCCAGCATTTGGAAACAGGTGCATCTAGAACTGCTCCATCTTATAGTAGCCCAAATGCTTTGGAGCATACAAAGGGCTTGCATCACATAGATGTATAGCAAAAATTCAGTTCCAAATTCATTTCACGTTATTAGTCTTGTCAATATGATCAAACATATAATAAGGTCAATTTACTAAAGTTGGCTGATTCTTTATACTCTCATCCTGTGTTGTCGTTTTAGCTGAAATTCTATCCTTTGGATACGATTTGTTTTTACATACATGACAAGAATCAATAAATTCTATATATAAATTTGATTTCCCTTTACCAGGTCATTAAATTTAAATTCTTAATTGTTATTATCTTGTTATATACGGAAATTGCTTTTCTGCGAAATGTGAAGGATCAGGGAACAAGTTGATATGTTGAACGCTATGGAAAGGTGGGCTGTAGGATGTAATAAAGAATGGGTATGTCTTTATCATCATTCAGTTATATCTTAGGAGTTGTAATTTCGTTCAAAAACATTCCTTTTTGATATATCTTAAATATTGGAGGTTCAAATTTCTGAATATGGCTCAAATCGAGACGTTTCTACTAAGTGCATCGACACAATTAAACTTTTTTGGTATGATTCTCTTTCATGTTAAAAATCAAACTCCACTAATTGAAAATTAATTATGCAAATCTCTGATTGTCTAATTCAAGACTTTGTCTCTGGATGCCCAATTAAATAGTTTAAAGTTCTTCAGCCACCTAAAGACAAAAAATCAAGTTCCACAAAAAATATATTAGTCTTAGCTCTTGACTTATCTTTGCTCATCTGATCTGGTAAGCTTATCAGAAATTAAAACACATACTATTATCCCTTATATGTAGGAAATTTGCATCCTTATCAATTAACCCCACATCCCCACTGGATTGAGAGCTGGCAATCTAAATCTTGTAAAAATCCCTTCTCATCTCTATGTATTAGAATAGTGACAGGATTGGCTAAATGTATATAGACAAAGGAAATTTAGGACATCTTAATATCTTTATAAATATCATAGTATTCAATCACAAGCATATAATAGATGGAATATGATTAGCACCTATGGTATGTTTTATATATTTTATAGTTGTAATTTAATGTTTTAAAATTTTTAATGTCAAAATGTTTTAATTTTTTCTTTTCTTATAAAAAACATAAATTTGCATCTGAACTTGATGGACATAACATAGAAATCACATAACAATACAAAAAGGCTGCAATTTATGTCTTTATCGAGTTGGCTTAATCCAATAAGAATTTGAATTCCTGATTAAAAGTTTCATGATGGAATCTTAAGACATAGAAAAAGAGATTAAGAGAACATAAAGGTTGCTATTTGTTGTCTGCAGATATAAACAAAAAGTTGTGTTTTCTTTTTCAATATCTACCACTATGTTGGTCTATCTGTTCATTATTTATGCTTTAGGTTGCATCCTGGAAAACACAGCCCAAGGGGACATTTAAAATGAAGTAAATGAAAATGCACAAGAAAGGTCAAGGGAAAGCAACACATGTCTGACTGACTGGGATGCCAAAATCAAATTGAACATTTAGTATGAGAATGAATTTAGACATTATTCAGGTAAAAGGTTAAGATAGCAATTTCATTTTCAGCAGGTAATTAAATTGGAGAAATAAACAGGCACTTCCGGAAGTTTCTTCTTATCTACTTTAATAGGTTTCCTAGTGGAGCAGCCTTTTATGGTGAGACGGTGAGAGGATCACTTCCGTGCAAGTTGTTTGCTTTTGTGGCCAAAGCTTCACAAAAGTTTACTTTAGGATATGTTTGGATTAATTTGTAAACATTTTTATATTTTTTTATTATTTATAGGTGATAAATTTAAATTTTTATTAAAAAAATTTAAAAATTATTGTTAAAAATAAAAAAATATAAAAAAAATATAAATTTATAAAAAAATATAAATTTAAAATTTTTTAAAATTTATTGTTTAAAATTATTTTAAAATTAAAAAAATTAAAAAATATAAATTTTTAACAAAAAAATTTAAACTCATAAAATATAAATAATATCAAAAAATTAAAATTTTTAGAAGTTAACTCAAACATGCCTTTAGTTTTCAATCCAAAGTGGAATGGTTTTTTTTTTTATAAGGATAATAGTTAAGAAATTAATATAAATTAGTTGTTAGCAACTGAGAATTCAATTATTAAATTAGGTAAACATTTCACCTCCTTGAATAAGACGTGCAGCTATTAAATTACTTTTTGGTGAAGTTCATGACGATGGTAGAGTTTAAAACTCTGACATCTCATCTAAACCCTTAAATTTTAAGGTCAAACCATTGGATGTAAAAACCGATTCGAGTGGAATGTCTTTTTAGTTTCCCCAGTCCACAAGTTTATCAGAGCAGAATGTACCTACTTTCAGTTGAGGTTCATCAGTAAAAAAATACAAAACAAAACAAGAAATCAGAGCGGAATATTGCTCCTACAGTCTCGGGTTCAGCTGCGTTAGTTGGCGCACCGTTCCCCTCTCCCTAGATTTTCCATTTTTAAAAGAAAAGGATTAATCGGATTCAGAAGCTTCAAGTGGAACTGATTTTTTTTTTTTAAAGTGGAGTATATAACTAATACGAGTATATTTATGATCACTTGTTCGTTTTATTAAAATTATTTAATTTGATTAATATTTAATTTATTTATATTTATTAAATAATTAATTATAATACTTAAAATTTTAATTTATTAAATAATAATTTATTTTATTAATTATTAATTTTTTAAATACTTAAATTAAATAAAATTTAATAAATTATAATATATTTGGATGAAAAGAAATGAAATGAAAGGGAAAGAAAAAAATTTTTTATTTGACTATAAAAAAAAAAGAAGGAAAGAGATTTTTTATTTTATTTTTTAAATTTAATTAATTATTTAAATAAATAAATAAATAAAATTCTTTTTCATTCCCTTTAACCTAAATATTAAGTTTAACAAAATAATAAATACCCATCAACTACACCAATATTGCTGGAGTGTTGGAGGGGCAGGTGCGGAGAAGAATAAAATAAATTGTGGGAAAAAAAGAAAAGAGAAAGAAAGAAAAGACCAGAGCAGAACAAACCAAAAAGGGTCGGGCCCGATGCGGTCCAAGTAGTACCACAGCTTAGGAATATAATATAATTATTATATATATTGCACGATTTGTTTGGTTCCATCCGAGCATCTTGGAGGGCCCACCATGTCCGATACGATTCAAGATTGAGCCACTGAGGGGATGATTGGTGGGCCCTTCCATAGTGGGTTCTGCTGTCACGTGGATGGTGTCAGTGTCTCCGTCATCTTACAATCCACGTGGAGAATCCAGGCACGTTGGGGAAAGGATAAGCCCAGATGGGGATCAACTTCAGTTCCACATAATAACAGTAAGATGAGATATTCGCACGCCTAACCCATTTACACGTTAGTGGTGTTATAAAAATAATTTTTTATATTATTTTTTAATATATTATTAAATATATATATATATTTAATATTATAAATTTTATATAAATAAAAAATTAATTATTATAAATTTTATATAAATAAAAAATTAATTATTTAAATAATATATTAAATTATATTAAAAAATTATATTAAAAAATTATTTCAGTATTATTTTCCTAAACATATAAGCAAGTCGGCTGCGCTCAAATTCCATGTGTTATCCGTTTCCGATGTTGATTTTTTTGGCCACAATCCGTTCCAAAGGGATAAAGACCAATAATATTCGTTTTTTAACCGTTAACGAGTCTTTCCAATGGATTCATTTTGTAAGCCATGATGCTATTTATTTTATTTTTTATCTACAAAAATGGTTTAAAAGTTTTTTTTTTGGTGTTTTTAATTTAATAAAAGAATTTTTTAATATTTTATTTTAAAAAATTCTTTTTTAATTCATAAAATTTAAAATCTAATTCTTTTTTAATCTCTTTTTTATTTTTTTGTGTAACATGTTATTTTAATAAAAATCTCAAAATAAAGAGATTAAAAAAAATTTTTAATAGAAAAACCAAATAGAGTTTAAAAAAGCTCTTCTTTTGTTCATTTATTTTAAAATTTTTGTTATATAATATGTTACATATATAAAAAATAACAAAAAATTAAAAAGATGTCATATTTTAAATTCTAGAGATTAAAAATAAATTTTTAATAAAAAACTAAAAAAATTATTAAAATAAAAAAACTAAAATAAAATTTTAACCTCCAAAAATATTACTCTTATCATATTTATATTAAAGTTTAAGGAGATCGAATATATATTTTTTTTTTTGAACATGCGATCGAATATATTATTTGTTTTTATTTTTTATCTACAAAAGTATTACTCCTATTGTAAAAAAGTTTGAGGAGATCGAATATACGGGAGTATAAACATGATAAACACCGTACATTCACAATCAGTATGTAGCTTTCGCCCTCTGGTCACGTCAAATATTTATGTGATCATAGTCACTTTTCACTGTCTCTGTCCGTAATCGACAGCGAAAAACTCTTTTTTGATGTAAAATAATATTTTATTCGTTTATTTTTAATAAATTTTAAAATTTTAAAATAAAAATTTTAAATAAAAATTTAATAATTTATTTAAAAAATAATACAATTTTTATATAAAATTTTTATTAAATATTTTTGTTTAATAAAAAATTTTAATTATTATTTACATAATATATTATATTTTTATTTAAAAAATTTTAAAAATCAAAATAAAATTATTAAAAATAATCGAAATGAGTACCAATGTCCGATACAAGCACCTACTTTTTCTTTTTGTTTTAAAGATTTTATGTGGTACTGAAATATACTGTGCATTTAGAAGATTATTATTGTTACAAATGAAATTATTAATCACAAAAAGAAGGTTGTAAAATCACTTAGTTTTACGATTTCTTCACTTGTCCCTACATTTTGTCAAATATGTCAAGGCTGGGGTTTGTCTATTA